TAATTCATGAATTATTTGAATAAATGATACATTGAAAAAAATACACATATATACAAGAAACACGTATTTTACAGAAAATAACTGATTATAATAATATTGTGAAATTATGAATTCTCGAAAGCTGTGTATAAGATTTTATAGTCAATATATTACTTATAACAAAGATTAAACATTACAGAAGTAGTTAATCAATATAAATCGAAATCACTTTTTAATATCTCTTACGTGCTCTTATTAATAAATTAACGCAATATCTGTAGTATGTGTGACTTTATCATAATCTTATTAGCAATTTTGGAACAGCAGTGCCTCAAATCTAAGCATTACGTCTAACATGCTTTACGCTTTCCTCGGTGAGTCTTCATACTGCCATCACTTTTGAAGCGTACCTCTCGGCATCGTTTGTAAAACTTCAATAAAAAATCAGTACCTAGCACGGCAGCAGTATAATAGTTCTCAAGCAAAGTGCGCCGACAACTATAAACGTACACTATTCTTTCTCTAAACGCCAAATGCACAACCGTGAAACTGCGCATGTTTTCTTTCTTACTTGGCAATCTGTTTCTAGCTACTACTCTATCCCTATTTTACTTAAGCTGTCTGCTCCTTTCTGTTTTTTTAAACATTTATTTTTATAATAATTATTGTAAATAAATCAATTAATCTTTAAATCTAAATCTAATATATAAATATGAATAGTTTCTTTTTAACTTTTTATATTATTTTATTTTAAACGAATTTATTTTGAATGATAAAAAATTAATTTATTTTAATACAAATACTTTTTTATGTCCTAATATTAAATTATTCATTTAATTATCAAAATTATTTATTGTTTCTAAATAATGTGTTATTGTATTAATAATTTTTTTTATATAAATCAGATTGATTATAAAATATCACATGTACGAAAAAAAGCACAAGATAAATTCGTATTTTTTACGTATATATATATATATATATATATATATATATATATATATGCATATGCAGTTCTAAAGCTTGTCATTTTACACACGGAAACATCACATATGTATTTTTTAATATGATGTATATAGAAGAAAAATCTAAATGACGTTATAGAAATTTATTATAGTGCTTGGAATATTCTTAATGCTCCCTCATTTCGTTGGAAGAGATGAAAGATAGAGAAGAAAAGGAGAGAAGGACTTCTTGGCGTACGCATGAAGAATCGTAAAAAGCATAGTCACAGATTTGCGATTCATTCAATTAGACACGTTCCGAAGGTCGTAAAACTTCTGCTGTACCTATCGTAAAGTACGCAGTCATCGTACGTGCATGTACATTATTTATTATATGGAGCATAGCCCCATGGACTGCATATTTCTTCTTTCTATCTTCGAACACTATATATAAAAGTAGAGTAGATAATTGTATCATCCACCCGAACAAACGCATATAAGTAATATATTTAGTAAGACAGATTTTCTCAAATATTTCATCATATTATACTTTTAAGTGTAAAGTGTTATATATACGTATATTTGTGAATAAATATAAGAAATAAAATACCGAAAAATCATAGAAAAAATTCTATTAATAGTCTCGTAATACTTAATAATTACTGTTATTACGTATATGCTTTCATATTTTTTAATTATATTATGAGGAACTGAAAAATAAATCAAGAATATTACAATAAGTATATATATATATAATAGGTTTTAGTATGCTTATAATATAAATAGGCTTTAGTTTAAATCGAATATTCCTGTGGTTTATACTAAGTATAATTAATAATCCAAATATTTCCATGATTTACATTAATATTATGATAGTGTTGAATTTATATTTCTTGAATGTATCTGAAATCCAAAGTTAAAGTATTAGGATACTTATTATATACATAATTTATATAAATATCTTTAACAATTAAAGTTGGTACAAAAATTTACACTTATTTAGTATGAAGTACAAATGTTATAATTACATAGCTGAAACTATAATGATATGTATTAAGGACAAATTTGTTAGCTATAGACTTATATTTTAAATACAGAATAGCATATATACAAGGCAAGAGAATCTACAAAAGGTTCTCAAATTGCAATGAAACCTGGCACCAAACCATCTTTGGGTTTCGGGTGTCTAAAGCAAGACCACCGCCGATGATGCATGCTTCTCTCTCTCTCTCACACACTTTCTCTCTCCCTGTCTCTCTCTCTCTCTTTCTCTCACTTTCTCTAATTATTAATTTATCGTTTCATATTATATAATTAAAAATACAAAGTTTAAATCTACAAGAAGGCGAATAAACTCTCTGCCTCTCTCTTTCTCTCTCCCTGTCTCTCTCTCTCTATTTAATTTAATTAAAAAAATTATTAATTTATCGTTTCATATTATATAATTAAAAATACAAAGTTTAAATCTACAAGAAGGCGAATAAAACAACTTCTCATTTTTTTGGTGAAAATTAAAAATTTATATTTTCATGTAATGAATAATAAATTTATGTTATATAGTATATAAAGCATTAGATTAAGCATTAGATAAAAATTTTCTTATTTAAAAAATGTTTTATATGCATCGGAAACAGTGGACATAAATACAGCAAATGACAGAAGCTCTTTATTTTTATTACTATTATTATTATCATGTAGGCTATTAATTAATTTTTTATGATAAGTTCTTTGCCTATTTTATTATACAATATTTAAAATTTTAAAACTGGTAACATATATTATAGAAAAATATATTTTTTTAAATGTATAGAACAATATTAACTTTAAATATATTAATTATAATGAAACATTTAATTTTTAAAACTATTGTCACTAAATAGTAATAAATATTGAGTTTAACTTGGTACATTAGTTTTGGTAAATTCTAGAAATAAAACGATAATTAGTCCTAGGAAAACTTAAGAGTGAAGAATAACCATCGGAATGTCGACAATAATGATCAAATAGAAAAAAGAGATGCCGCCCAAGGTCAATACCAATGTTGCGAATCCCCGATTTTCCGTTGCACGCATCTCTGGCATTGCTCTCCCATTCCATTCGTCTAGTGCGGCTAGCATGAAATGATGAAAACTTAACGGTAACATCATTAACGTTGTTATTTTTTCATTATCATTATTCTTTTACCGCTTTATTTTTCAATCATTGCACATAATTTATTGGATAATTTGTTTGTCTATTTTGTATAGTGCCAAAATAATTTATTTAAATTTATTTCATTTGTATGTGATAGATGTAAGTTTAATTAGATATGACATTATAATAATATTCAATAAATTAGAAAATTTTTATTTCTGAATCAAAATAATGGAGTAAGTAAAATAATGTAATTCATTGTTTATGAATAAAATGGATTACATTTCCATACTCTCACTTACATATTGAATAATCAGTTGAGAAGTTCAATATTCGTGCATTGAATTTTCTTATATCTAAATAATTTTTTAAAATATACTAAAAATTTTAAAGCACTTCAATTATAAAATAGCAAAGCTTATATAAATTATACTGTTCCTTAATTATTACAAGAATAAAATACACATTCAATAGATGAATTTTATTTATACGGTGTATTTAAATTCTATGAGAAAACCGTAAATGAATATTTGATAATATGAATATGACTGTTTTATTATTTCATATACAAAAACTATTGAAATAATGTTAAATTTACATTGATTAACATTAATGTATATGTTATAATAGTTTATGTGAATTAATTAATATTATATACTAGATGATTATGGTATAAAATTTTATGTTTTTAAAAAAGATGCAACAATAACATAAATCATATTATTTGAAGCTACATCTTATGTAGTGTTAAATTAAAAATTACAACTAATATAGTTACAATGATCGGTTAAATTTTTAAAATGACAATTTAAAAATTAAAACAGAAAGTAATTTTAATTAATCTGTAACTGATATTAAATAAATTAAAAATTTTGTATTTATTATCTAGAAATATTGTGTTTTTCTATAGTAAAGTAAGCTTCTGTTATTAAAGTTTTATATTATTCATATGTGTACATTAAAAGTTGTTATATAACAAATAAAAAATATATAAATAATCGAACCGATTAGTTTTAACAAATGTTATAGAATACATCAGTATTCCCAAATATAATATGAAATATAACATATGAAAAATAAAGTTCAGTAGTAAAATATGACTTACATTACTCGATTATTTGTTATTTTATTTATTTAATTTTTATAAAGTATTTAAAAAAACTATTTATATTAAGACCGATTATATAAAATATTATCTAAAACTCCAGATTTTAATTATATTATTTGAAGGTCTATAATTTTAGTTAATAGCTGATTTAAAAGGAAAAATATTAGATTTAGTAATTTTATAAATTATATTATGGAAAATTTTTAAATTTATGGTTCATATCTTCTTACAGTAAAATATAAAGAAACAAATTTATAAATTCTTTTATTTTATAACTGTCTATTAGTGAATGTATATTGGAGATATATTAAATATATGATACTTATATACAATAATCTAAGAATGGCAATATAATGAGGTTTCATATATAAAATTGGTCAGAATTTAAAGATTTATAAATCACTTTTTATTTTAACAATATTAATATATAAAATTTTACACAATTATCAGTCTCTTACAAAATCTCGCAATGAGAATATAAATATCCATAAAGTTAAACACATATCCTTTTACTTTTTACAGCTAAGCATATGTGCATGACAAAATATTTTTGTCATTCGGCTTGTATTATATTTTATTATATGTACAATATTTGTTGAATCACATACAAATCTTAGACTTTTAACTATACAACCAACTAAAATGAATGTTTTTAATATATAAATTTATGTAATTAGTTAAAAGAAAAAGATAAGAGAATAGTTAAAACGAATGCAACAAAGAGTTCAAATTGGGCATCATGGACAGTTTTTTATCCAAAGCATACGCTCATATAAAATAAATTATCTACAAAATATCTACAATATGAAAATATTTTTAAAAACTTATATGTACACTATTATTTGCACACATTGATGAAAAAGAAGTTCTGAATGTATGTACATATAAATTGTCTCACTTGATCCTAATGAGCTTATCAGCTCGCCTGAAACATCACATTTCATATTCCAGGTAAAGGCCGCATTCACAGCACCAATTAATATTCACGTCGAATATTAACACGGGACACAAAACTTCTCCTATTGCAAGAGGTCGTAAAGCGCCGTGATATAAGATTGGGCCATTTGCAAAGTCTCATATTTTGAAAGTTGTCTATCGTTGCCGAGCGACGGCAGATACGTCCTGAGTTTATCAAATGCCTTATTTAGATTTTGCATACGCCTACGCTCGCGGGCATTCGCCGCAAGTCTGCGCTTGCGCACGAGTGTTGAGCTCACGTGCTTTCCTCGTTTACGCACGAAGCTACTCATTTCTGGCTCCGCTTCGCTTTCATCTTCATCGCTCTCTTCTGGATCAGAATTCGGGGATTCACGTCGTTCTGATTTGAGCTGGTGCTGCTGAACTTGTTGCTGGTGTTCTTGTTGCATTTGTTGTAGTTCCTGTTTGTGCGGCGTGAACTGAGGAAAGTGTTTAGGGAGCACATAGTGATCAAATGATGTCGGAAGCCCCGACCCCAGCAGATAGCAACTTTCAGGTTCAGAAGAAACGGAAACACCCGCGGGACTAACGGAGCGCAAAGAAGCTGCAGGACTGGGAGTATGCCAGCCATCGCTATTGTTGTCGTACGGATTGCAGTGTTGATGTTGATGCTGTGGCGAAGCCATTAAGTTCATTGCTGGTAGATTTGTTTTCTCCTTGGCGTATACTAGGTAGTTTGGAAGCTCGGGGCATGTAGGCAAATCACTTTGTAGCCCTGGAAATGCGTAGTTGTAGCGAAAGAGCTCCTGAAGCTCCATCGCGCTGAGTTAAGGTTTAACCTTGATTTATACTGTAAAGTACGGGCACAGAAGAAATGCTATTGAATAAAAAAGCCAAGTCCCCGGAACACGCCGAGTAAGTTCTGAAGTCTGAGCGCGATTGCGGTCGCATTTATGAGCTCGGGGGGCTGCAGCACGTGCCTGCTGACCAATAGCAACTCAGCTTTATTTCCACTTGGGGGAGGTTCGCGCGCCCTTCGCTTTAGCCCCGCCTTCGTGGACTCTGGTTTGCTTCACTGCTGACGCACCGCAGGCCACAACAGGTGGCTCCGACGGCGCCTGTAGCGTGTGATCGCGTCGTTAAGGTTTTTGGGTGGGGTGAGACGCACGCGCACGGAAGGGAACCGGGAACTGATCGCGGATTATGAACGTCTATGCGGGCATCAATTGCTCCTTCGTTCAAATTTTTCTGTGCTTCCGGCCTTAAATGTAAAAAGCATCGTGGAAAAATAAATATCTTCATCAAACGCTTCTTTTCTAAGTAGGTTGGGAAGAAAAACATTCCTTCTTTCTTGCTTCTTTTTAGCCCTTTTATTTTAGAATGATATAAATATATTTCGAGACAAAGCTATTTATAACTTAGATTATGAAGATGTATTTTTATTATCGTCATCGTTGCCACGCTATCGTTATCATTATTGTCATTATATTATGTCATTTATATTCTGCATGTTTTTGCATATTTCTGGGTTTATTGCTGTTCAAGATTTAATGAGATATAATATTAAATATTATTTATTTAAAAATTATCTTTTCTCGTAAATAATTTTCAATTATCATTAATTAGTTAGATGGTTTATATTTAATATTATTCATGTAATCGTGATGTAATGTTAATATTATTAAAGTAATATAATCGTATCAATTTTGTTTCAAGAGCATTTATTAAAAATTTCCAGTAGATACAATCTTAAGACATTGTGTATTGAATATTTGATTAGATTTTCTCAAAAATACATTTTTTGAGAATTTTTTTTTATCTACAAGCTATGTTTTATTTGTTGATCTTTTTATTTGAAATCAAATTTGATAATTTTAATAATCACTTTCACATAATCACAACAATATTTTTTTAAAATGAAGTTTACATTTTTATTTGGAACTATTAAATTCAATCTAAAATAATATTTAATTCAACATAATATAAATTGATTTAATATTATGTTGAATAAAAATTCTACCCTTATAGGAAGTTATTAAAATTTTTTAATTTATTAATATCTAATTATAATAGAAACAAATTATTAATTTATAAGATAGTTTTAAGTGTATTGTGTGAATTAATTAATTCTTTTATTTCGACATTATAGCTATTTTTTAATTAGATTTAATCTGACTTTTTATTGATAGATGTTTTTGTTGTATTTAATATATTTTATTTATTTTTTAAAAAATATTCAATCTTTTAATTGAGGTAAAAAACCTAGTTTAATGATTATCTTAGTGCCATCAACGTATTTTTTATCACTTGAAACTGTACAAGTATAGTTACAACGGTAAAATAATTGCCGCGACTCATATCTGTGTTCATTTGCAACGACGTATGTTTTACGGTACATAAGTTATACATGCACCTGCAAGCATAGAAAAATCATGTGCCACGAAATCGAACTTTATATATAAAGAAATTTAAATAAATGGTGTTCTTTTACTTTTCATACAAATCATGGTAGGCTTAATAATAAATTAATAGATTCAATAATATCAAAGATCTACGCTCTACTAGTTTAAAATAATTTCATAGAATTTAAAACGAAAGCATTTTTTTTTATTTAATTCTTATTAAACACTTTTACGAACTTTGATAAATTAAAAATTTATTTGTAAATAAATACTCTTAGTTTATTATCATTCAATATAATAACCATGTAATAGATTACTTCGAAATAAATAATACTGATATAATCTTATATGCAAACTATATTTTATTGTAATAAGTACTTAGTTTAAAATGAAAATAAATGGGTATATTTTTGTATATCTATCAAAATACAATTTATTCAGTGCATGAAGTATTTTATAATAGAAATATATATATAAAAAAGTTCGAAATAAATTTTTTTTTCTGTTTAAGATAAAAGATATTTTCATTTTGTTGAAAAGTAAAAATTTAATTATAAAAAGAAAAAATTGACAAATATATCGCATTTTTGTTTATATATAAAAACTGACCTGAAATTGAAGTAAAAGAAAAATAATGCGTTACTTTGAAGCCAATATACAATAATTATATTCGATCATTAGTGAAATAAAGTCTCGTATTTAAATATCAAAAGAATAAAATCATTTAAAATATATATATATACGCACACACGTTAACAAGGGGTGTTTGCAATTTATAAATTAGATATCATCGTTAATATATAATCTTAATATATATTGTGAATGAATTAGATGTATTTGTTGTATAATTATTATGATAATAATGAAATACTTATCAATTCATAATTAATTAATTTATTATATATCCACAAAATTAATTTGATATTTACAATAAAGTATTAATTATATGTAGAACTTATTTAAAAATCTTTATACATACATTTTAAAATAATTATATTATTAATTAATTAAAGTTATATCCGTATAGTATGAAAAATATGCTATTAATTAATATTCCATGATGATCATATTATTTAAATAAATTAACTCGATATCAAAAGTTGTAAATCAATAAAAATATTTCAATAGTATCAGTTACATTAATTTGATAAATGGAACGTCAAAAATTCATAGAGAATTGGTTAGTTAATTTAGTAAAAATAAAATATATAGTTTAGCTATGTGTTCAAATAGTCTGTTTAAATAAAACAATTTGAATCTGGACGTTCGGGCGTTTCGTGCGCATTTAACTAAAATCATTCCAATCTACCTTTGTTACGGTAATAGACAACGGCTCTACAAAGTGCTTATACTTTTTGACAAACTAGACTACAAAATCTTTTCTTCTTCCTCCATCTGTATCATTGTCCAATTTCTATCCATTGTCCATTACAGAAGTTGTACGTATACATTTTTGCGTGATGTGAATCGACAAAATGTGTAGTATTGTAATCATGTTATTCTTGTGGTTTTTTTCAACTGCGTTCGCATATGTATAAACTAAGTCAGAACTAAATCGGCACACCTATTAAGAATTTCAGAAAGCACAATCTTTTGAAGGAGAAATCATTTTAAAATACGAAACAAATAATTTTTTAAAGATTCCAAACGAATTTAGTAGAATTTAACAGTTACTAATAAAATTGTTTATTGACTTCTAATATTAATACTTTATATTAATACATATTATTTATGAAATTCAAATTTTTCTTTCTATATTTTTATAGAAAAGAGTTTATATTTTAAGAAATAATATGCGCATAAGAGAAGTAAATATTGTAGCAAAGATTACTATGAAATTCATAATAAAATAATGCTAACAATAAATCAGTTAAATATTACAATTACTTAAAAATATTCAATTCTTTAAATTGTGTAGTACTATTAATTTCAATAATGATTTAAATTTTAAGTAAAATCTCGTAAATTTAGTATGTGAAATTTAGTTTTTCTGAAATTGGCTGCTATATTATCATAATTAAAATTTTTTGGGATAGTTGAATATTAATTTAACGTTTGTGAGTCCCTAGCTGCTGAATAATTAAATTACACTTTGTGATTTGCTAAACATACTCTCAATTATATTAAAAATGTATATGTATACTAATAATAACTTTATGCATGTATATATATGTATATATAACGAAAACTAATTTTCAAAAATAAATGAACTTTTTTCATTTTATATATTTTGTATTTTTTATTAAAATGTAATGGTGTAAGTACATCTTCAATAATTATTTTCTAAACTTTTTAAAGTTAAAAATTAAACTAAAAGAAAATTAAGATTCAGTATGAATTTAGTACAGTAATTTAAAATATAGTATTCTAATAATATACAACCAAGTTGACTAAACTATGATTATTTAATAAATAAAATTTAAAAATTAAATAATGTATATAATTAAATAATAAATATATACAAATTAATGCTACCTATGTAAATAATTTGCTTTATACCTATTTATATACCGATAATCATTTAATTACAATATATAATCAAGTTTATTGCATTTTCTGGAATTACATACATTAGATAAAATGTCACAAAATTCAAATTATATATAATTTGTAAATATACATTATAACAGTATCCAATAGAAAATACTAATAAAATTACTCGAACTTTCATTTGAAAGAAATCTTCAAATAATTGCTTTAATAATATTTAGCAAATTAGCAAATTAAAACATCGTGTTTTAAAATTTTGTAACTCTTTTCATAGGAAATAACCGAAGAGTATATAAAATCTTACTGCATTTTGTTTTCTCAATTATTAAAAGCAGTGTGGAATTATTCAAATATAATCAAATATAGTAAGAAACAATCTGGTAGAGGAGAAAGTGAAATAAAGAAAGAAAGATGTAGAAGTTGAGAAATAAAACAACTTAATCTTTGTCACTTTTCTTCATAAATAGAAATATTTTGTTTTGAATTTCAGTTGATTGCTCTCGAAGCAATAACGGCGATGATGATCCTTGAAAAGTGTATTACAGCGGCTCTACGTATTGTTAATATCTTAGGGAGTGATAATCTCCATACTTAACTCTATATTCTGAACTCTATTTAGATATCTTCATTTTCTTCGATACGGATTTTAGTTCATTATATACTTCTTTTCGTTTACTCAATCCTTTCAGCCCTAGTCTATTATTTTTCCACAATCATTTCTTAATTTTTTCAGCACTATAGATAAGCCTATGTAGAAACTTTTAGATAAGTTATGGCCTTTATAAAAACAGCGCATCATTTCTGGAAAATTGGTAACTATTTTTCATACTTATTATACTTCTATTTTTTCTTATTCTTCAATTTTATCTGAATGTTTCTCTATCTTCCGCTTCCCTTTCTCTCATTAAAGTTTTATAGAAATCTGGAAAATCCATTTTGTATCTTAATTTAAATAAATTAAATAATATTTGAATATGCTTGTTAATATTTTTGTCGAATAAGCATATCATAACCAT